GGGGGGACATTCCAGTTATACAAGATTCCTAGCATTTGAAAGTTGTGATTAATCTGATTTTTCTCTGTTCTATTTAATATTATCATAATGTATGAACGGAACTGAGATTTTGCTATCGAGAATTTTATATATCATTTGGCAAATCATTTTCCTTATGGTGTGTCTCTTAGGATGATATACTACCCAAGTTGATGACTTCCACTGGCTCTTACGAGGATCTTTTTAGAAAGGAGATCTCAAAGTATGATCACATTTGTCAAGAGATCACAAAAAACCTTGAGGCACAAGAACAACTACTGATGCAAATTCAGGTATATATTTTCGTTTCTCATGCGAAAGATTTCATTTTCCAGCTGAAATGAAAACTAGGATCAGGTCATCTACGTTAAACTTTATTTGATGTTGGCATGCCTTGTTGAATTTTTTGTACAGTGACTTCATTTCTTTTATTTCAAATTGTGATTCTGGACTTAAATGCCAAATATAATGAGAAGGTTACCTTCTCTGTAATCTGGAACCATTTTTATGAATTTGGCTTTGAATAAGGGATTTAAGTTTTGAGACTTGGAAGGATATATTTGCTATTGAACGATTGCAGTTAAATCGCCTTCTTTGGGTATGGACTTGAGCGTCAAAATTATCAGGTTTACAAGTTAGGAGATTGAAATTTTGTAATAGCAGGATTAGAAGTTGTACAGCTTGGGAAATTTAAGCCTTATTTCGTAGCTGGAATTTCCTAGAATATACAAGCGGTTTCAAACAGGACATAGTTCTACACAAAATGAAGACTGGAATGTCCTTTCCAATGGTTAATTTGATATACAATTATGACAGTGTGACACCCAGAGTCCAATGACCCAGGTATCTTTGTAACTTTGTTCATAAAGTGTAAAAATATTTAAAAAGATGAAGACACAATCTATAAACATATATTCGTGAGTCAAAACATATAAAAAGTAAGCTTCATATTTCTTAATAACGAAACCTAATTGCGTATTCGCGGATTCCGACTCCAAATACAATTAATGAAAAGTACATGGATAAAACTTAATGGTTTTATTTCTCTTTGCATAAAACACCTTAAGAAAGTTTACTTGGCCCTTCTACTATTTCCCCATCATAAGCCATTCCATGCTTCGACCACCACATGCCCTAATTTCCTGAGGGGGAAAGGAGAGGAGTGAGATAAATCTCAATAATCAAGTAGCATAGTTCAATTAGGGAATATGACATGGTCATAACTTACAAGTTGAGAATGTGAGTTTTAAGCCAATTCTATGTAGACTCAGAATTCACGTGTAGTACTGCGAGTCCAATCCGCCTTGCATATCATATCATATTGGACCCGTATCATCATGGAAGACTAAAGGATACTCAAATAATTAAAGCAGGATGATTTTAGTGAGAAGATGAGGAAAAGAAATGATAAAGCTTCAAAACTTTGATTCCCTCATTTAAAACCTTGTGAAAATTTTTGAAGCTTTAAAAACACATACTTCCTCTCCTCTCCTGAATGCTTTGTTTTCTAACAAAAAAGAGTTGTTAGGATAAAAACATGTATGGCGAAAGGAAATTGAGATCTTGTAGGAAGTTCTGTTCCACATGCAAAAATTAGGATATTTTGAGTAACTCTTAATCTTTACTCAACGACCCTTGGGAATTGTTTGGAGATGTGGAAAATATGATCCTTGAAGGACCTAGGGGAAAGTCTCCCAAAATTAAGAAGACAATGATGTTTTTTTTGTGTGTGTGTGTGTGATAATGTGTATATGGCTGAATGTTTTTGTGTTGTCTTGCATAAAGGATAGGTATTTATAGGGAATTTAGGGTTTTCTTTGCATTGAAACTTTCGATCTAATTGTCTATCTACCTTATGTGCAAGGAAATATAAATTCACTTATTCTTATATGAAAGTACATACGTGATTTTAGACTTGTTAAGGAAGTAAATCAATTAGGAATAATGTATTTTAGGCAAGAGAATTATTTGGTTTATTTAGTTTCAATATGTGTATATGATACTTTTCTATATAATGAAAGAAGATGAGAGGAAGAGATCACCTTCTTCTCTGTAGTCCTTATACCAATTTCTTGTTTGAAATATGGTATCAAAGCAATGTTTTTGAGGTTTGGTATTTCCTTCCACTTTTTCTCCTGAGCAAAATCGTCCCTTTCTTTTCTTTTCTTTCATTCCTTTTTCCTCCACTAAAAGTCACATCTGAATCGGCAATTTTGCTTCCTAGACGAGACTGGTGGTATGGTTGATTAAAAGACCCTCGAAGAGTTTGTAAATGACGGTGGCCGGTCGGTGATTGTAGTGGCAATTGTGGGTTGCGACAATTTTTTTGGCGTTGACAGCAGGGTCAGCTTCTTCAGTAGTTGAGTGGCGTTGTAGTTGTAGTGGGTCGTGGTTCTTGGTATGTTATGCGTTGTCGGAGTGCACTTCGGTACCAATTTCTGTTTCTTCTTGATTGGCGATTAGTGATCTATTTCTTCTTGATTGGCGGCGCGGTGGTTCGCGGTTGGTAACGGATTGCACTTCGTTGCCAATATTTCCGCCAATTTTTGGACTTGATTTGGGCAGTCTAAAATTGATTCGAAGTAGAAGACGTGGGCTGTTTAATTTGAATTGTAGGCTAATTGGTTTTAAGTTATGGGCTGATTAATTGGTGCTATTGGGCTCTCGGGCTTAAGTCCAATGATTTCATTATCCTCTTGATCCCATTGATCATTGAGACTAGATTCAACCTTTTGCAAAATCACTTTCTTAGGATTTTACAGACGGCTTGTCTAAAGTTAAGTGGTTAAATAAACCTTTGCCCCACAAGAAGACTTTAACACTCCTCGCCCAATAAGTGTAATTTCTTTTATTCAATTTTTCAGATGCCATGGGGCAGTTAGATTGAACATCTCTATTGTGGATGACATGATACTAACCACACAAACTAGTACTTTGGCCATAGAGAA